AAAAGCCAACCTCCCCCACCCTTGGACTTCCAGAGACTCCAAGAGCAATTCTCATGGAACAAAAGCTACCTAAGCCTGAGTTGGGACTTCTGTTAGGGAAGGTGATTGAGGATGGACTCTGGTTAGACACCTAGCATGAGATTTGTCACCAGAATTGCTTGTGTAGAACATTTCAGCCCTCTAGAGTTGTCCCCATGAGGTGGCCTTCTCCTTACCCATCTCCTGTCTCAAAAACCAGGGGAGTCCCTGGCTTCTCACTTCCTGGAACTTTAACTTCCCACTTTCCCTGCCTGGGTGAAAATTTCCAGTATCCTGTATAACCATTGGGCTACACCAGAGCATCTGACATTTCCACTAAGTATATGATGTCCTCTGGTTTCACATTTCCTAAATTTGAAGCTCCTGATTTTAGACAGTTATTAAATTAGTAAGTTTACTGGTTTGTTCGAAAGTCCAAGCAATGAATAAACTTAACATATGGGTCACATGTACAATCATTTGCCCCAGTCTCTTTCTCTTTGTGTCTTATATCCATTCCCTAGAGGGATGCAGTGTCTCCTTGAACAGACTGAATTTCTTGGCGGCAGAGTCTGTGTATCTGTGATTTCTCCCTTCATTCTCTAGGGCTACGGTTGTGCTCTGTATGCTTAGGTTGAAAGCACAGGGTCAGACATGTCCTCCACTTTGTAGCTCTAGGCTTCTAGGTGGTTCTTTTCCCTTTCTGGAGTGCTATCTAATAACCAAAGAGGACTCTGACCTTTGGCCTGTCCCTGGGTCTCTAATTCTTTTCCCTGGAGGGTGATAGGGGTGCCTGTGGTGTAAAAGCCCGACTTGGGCTCTTCCCCTCACTTTCTTCTAATTCAGACTGGAAAAGGGGGGGCTCAGAGAGGCCAGCATGGGAAACCATGAACAAAATCAGATCTGTCAGGGAGCAGGGAGGCATGGGAAAAATGGAGGAACTTTGGGAAAAGGAGAAGGAGGGCAGAAAGACGGTGGAATGAGATGGACATCATTACCCTAGGTACATGTATGACTGCTCATATGGTGTGATGCTGTATCGTGTACAACCAAAGAAATGTAAAATTGTGCTGTAGTTGTATACAATGAATCAAAATGCATTCTGCTGTCATATATATACCTAATTAAAATAAATAGATGAAAATAAATCAGACTTTGTCAGCTGGTAAATGGTGGCAAGAGGCACCTTGCTGAGGATGTACGGCCAACATGGTGCCTTCTCAGTGAGCCCAGGGGCACAATAAATGGAGCACTTGGGGCTGAGGGTGTGGCTCAGAGGTAGAGCGCTTGCTTAGCTTGCCTGAGGCACAGTTCGATCCGCAGCACCACACAAAATAAAGATGCTGTGTCCACGTATAACTAAAAAATAAATATTTTTAAATGGAGCAGTCCCTTCCAGCCTTCATGAACCTCCTAAATGTCACTTAATGACATCCCATTAGCCAACTTAAAAAGGCCCTGCAACCTTCCAGGTGGTTCCTTTGACCACAGCATTCTGAACTCTGCCTGGCTGGGCCAGACAAGGAGAGTGGTCCCTGCCTCAGGCTGTGTCACGGTGGCCCAGGCAGAGAAAGTGCAGGATGGACAGTCCCAGATGCTAGGGTCGGCGACTGAGCTAAGAGTGGAGTCAGGAGGGTCACGATGGCGAGGGATGATTTCTGTGTGGGGACCAGAATTGGGAAGGACAGTCAAGATGCTGGTTTCTGAAGGCTGGTGATGGGCAGAGCCAAGCCGGGTGAAGTCTAAGCTTTGGGGAGGTGGGTATCCCAGGAGAGGAGAAAGGGAATTTAGAAACTAGCCCAGAGGGGAAAGCACAAAGTTCTGACCTCCTTCCTCAAGTCGCTCCACCCTGTCCAAATCCCAGGTCTCCAGGCACAATGGAGGACAAACGAAACATCCAGATCATTGAGTGGGAACATCTGGACAAGAAGAAGTTCTACGTGTTTGGTGTGGCAATGACAATGATGATCCGGGTCAGCGTCTACCCATTTACCCTCATCCGCACCCGCCTGCAGGTTCAGAAGGGCAAGAGCCTCTACCATGGGACCTTTGATGCCTTCATTAAGATCCTGCGAGCAGATGGTGTGTCTGGCCTCTATCGGGGGTTCCTGGTCAACACCTTTACCCTCATCTCTGGCCAGTGCTATGTCACCACTTATGAGCTCACCCGGAAATTTGTAGCTGACTACAGCCAGAGCAACACAGTGAAATCATTAGTGGCTGGTGGCTCGGCCTCCCTTGTGGCCCAGAGCATCACAGTGCCCATTGACGTGGTCTCCCAGCACCTGATGATGCAGCGCAAGGGGGAGAGAATGGGCCGCTTCCAGGTGCGTGGGAACCCAGAGGGACACGGGATAATTGCCTTTGGCCAAACGAAAGACATCATCAGGCAGATCCTGCGAGCTGATGGGCTTCGAGGCTTCTACCGAGGCTACGTGGCTTCACTGCTTACCTATATCCCAAACAGTGCTGTCTGGTGGCCCTTTTATCACTTCTATGCAGGTAAGACGGGGCCAGGAAAATGAGGGATGAGGGCTACTGATAGGGTGAGGTACTGCTGCTCTGTGCAGGTTGCAGTGGAGATGAGAGTTAATGGGGGAATGGGCCATTCATCCAACAACTATTTGAATCCAAGAGGATTCAAAGATGAGTGAGACATGGTTCTGCCTTCAAAGAGCTTGTGAATGTAATGAGGGGGTCAGAGAAGTAAAGTAGGTGAGTATAGAACAGTTCATAGTGCATGCTCTGGGTGTGCTGGGATCACCTTGTGTTAGCAGAGTATTGCCAGAGAATTGGAAGGTGGTGGGGTTCAAAAGCTGTTGGATGTTTGGGATTTGAAGATAGTAGTGAGCTTTTTTATTTTTGGGGGGGGTACTGGTGATGATTGAATCAAGGGGTATTTAACTACTGAGCTACATTCCCAGCCCTTTTTTTAAAAAAAATTATTTATTTTGAGACAGGGTCTTGTTAAGTTGCTGAGGTTGGTCTTGAGGATTCAAACTTGGAATCCTCCTGCCTCAGCCTCCCGAGCTGCTGGGATTACTGGTGTGCACCACTGCACCTAGCAATAGTGAGCTTTTGAGTTGGATGTTTTCCTTCAACATTATTAAACAAAGTGTGATTGAACTTTGAATGTTTCCACTCCTACAATGTGTCTTTGTTAATAAGATATTTTACTCTTTAAATATTTTCCAGAATCGGAATTACTGAGGGCTTTAGTAGACATTTTGCTTTCTGAAAGGTCAGAGCACATTGCCGAGTGCGGAACCTGAGTGTGCCTGCTTCCCCAGCCGTGGGTCACTACCACATTCTGGTCAGGGCATCTGTCCTCACAAGCTTCCTGATGGCTGCTGCTGGTTTCTTGCCTTTCGCACTGGGCATTCCGACCTGTCCCAAAGGGTACTTTCTAATGACTTCCTGTCCTGTAATCATTTCGTCATTTCATGGCACTGTACTTTTCTGGTGATTCTTTTATTTTCCTGATTATACCTTCTTTTTATTGCTAACTCTGTTTCTTCTTCTGTTTCATCTGGACTCTTTGGTAAAATTCAGATTCTTAGACTCTACCCCTGACCTTTTGAAAATGAATTCTGAAAATCTCTAAAAATTTTTTTTTTTTTGTACCAGGGATTGAACCCACAGGCACTTAACCACTGAGCCACCTCCCTAACCCTGTTTTTTATTTTGAGACAGAGTCCTTTAAGTTGCTTAGGGCCTCACTATGTTGCTGAGGCTGGCTTTGAACTTGCCATCCTCCTGCCTCAGCCTCCCAAGCTGTTGGGATTACAGGTGTTTACTACCATGCCTGGCAAAATTTATTTTTTGTATTTTGTGTGTTATTGGAGGTTGAACTTAGGATTCTATATTCCCAGCCCTTCATATTTTTTATTTGGGGACAGGGTCTTGCTAAGTTGCCCAGGCTGGCCTTGAACTTGAGATCCTCCTGCTTCAACCTGGTGAGTCTCTGGCATTACAGGTGTGTGCTACCATGGCAGATCCTGGCAATCTTTTTTTTTTGTTTATGTGGGCGGATACCAGGGATTGAACTCAGGGGCACTTGACCACTGAGCCACATCCCCAGCCCTATTTTTTGTTTGTATTTTATTTAGAGACAGGGTCTCACTGAGTTGCTTAGCACCTTCTGCTGAGGCTGGCTTTGAACTCCTGATCCTCCTGCCTCAGTCTTCCAAGCTACTGGGATTGTAGGCGCATGCCATTGCACTCTTCCAGATTCTGGCAATCTTAATATTAAAAAAGTTTCCCAGGGGCTGGGAAGAGCACTCATCTCGCACATGTGAGGTCCTGGGTTTGATCCTCAGCACCATGTAAAAATAAATGAATAAATAAAATAAAGGTATTGTGTCTAACTACCACTTTAAAAAAAAAGAAAAGAAAAGAAGAAAAGCTTCCCAGGCTTGGTGCAGTAGTGCATACCTATAATCCCAGCAACTCAGAAGGCTGAGGCAGGAGGAGCACAAGTTTCAGGCGCCTCAGCCACTTAACAAGACCCTATCTCAAAATAACAAGAGCTGGGGTACAGCTGAGTGGAAGAGCACTTGCTTAGCATGTGTGAGGTCTTGAGTTTGATCACTACAAAACAGGAAGGAAGGAAGGGAGAGAGGGAGTGAGGGAGGAAGGGAAAAGGGTCCCAGGAAGTGTGAACATTTGTTTGGCTTTCTGTCCTCATTTGGTTTTATTTACAATTAGAGGGGCATTTTCCCAATATGTCTAGTATCTTTCGTTCCCAAATTAACCTTTTCCAAAGTCTGGTCAGACATTCTGACTCTTGGACCTCTTGACATGAAGGCATCTACTGACATTTGAAATTTTTTTCACGTAAGTATGCTGGCTTTCCCTTCTGGCTGACTTCATCTGTCAGAGGCCTTGTTTTTCTTTTTTTTTTTTTTTTTTTAATATTTATTTATTTTTTAGTTTTGGGCGGACACAACATCTTTGTATGTGGTGCTGAGGATCGAACCTGGGCCACACGCATGCCAGGCGAGCGCGCTACCGCTTGAGCCACATCCCCAGCCCAGGCCTCGTTTTTCTCCACATCTTTTAGGCTGACTCCTTGGGAAGTGTCTTGACCACTCCCTCCTTCTTGTCTCATATTTAGTCCTGGTGATTCGAGAAAGTCTCTCCCCATTTTCTCTCTATTCCTGCTGAAATTGCTTGAATCTTTCTTAAGGTAGTATACATTTGTGTTGATTTTATTGTTTGCCTTATCTTTTCTGCTATGTGGAAATGTTCTTGGAAGGGGAAGAAAATAACACTGGCTGAATGCCCCGTGTGCCGAGCTCTGTGTGGGGCGACCTTGCATCTTCATCATTTCCTTCTCGCAAGAGTCTTATGATGGAGGCATCTTCCCTGCTGCCCCAGTCTAGACTGGCTTCCTTTTTGGATGTTCATATGAAGCCACATTTCTTTCAGATCACTCAGCTGAGTCTGTAATGATACATTCATTCATGTGATTATTAAGTTAATGTCTCTTTCCCCGCTGGACTGCAGTGTGTTAGAACAGGGGCCATCTCTGTTTTTGCTCACTATCCTACCTTCCAACACTGGCTTGGTGGCTGAGTGTTCAATAAATATGTGTTGAGTGAGATTGGTTCTTGTCATTTCCTTTTGCTTCAAGTGTCGAGGCTGCCTTGTGGGCATTTAGAATAAAATCCAGTTTTCTTCTCATGGGCTCCACAGCGCGGCACCCTGTGGCCTCTGTTTCTCTGCTTCTCCACTCTGCTCCAGCCTCACTGATGTTCCTGAGTTTCCTGGTTCACATGAAGCTCTGTTCTGCTTCAGGACCTTTGCAGATGATGTTCTCTCCGCCTAGGAAGCTCTTTCCTCTGGTGTGTGGCTGGCTCCTTCTCATGTTTCAGGCCCACCTTTGCAAAGACTTCTCTAGCCACTCTATTGGAAAGAAGGTTCTTTATGTTTTCTGTTTTGGCACCTTGTTTCCTTCTTAGCACTTGTCATGATTTGCAATTATTTTATCCCAAACCTCAGCTCTTGATTGGAATATAATTATGTCTACTGCTTATCACGGTGTCATTGACCTGGATTTATCTTCTTTTTTTGTGTGTCATTGACCTGGGTTAATCTTCTTTTTTTTTTTTTTTTTGTGGGTGAGGTACTAGGGATTGAACCCAGGGGTGCTTAACCACTGAGCCATATCCTCAGCCCATTTTAATTTTTAAATTTTGAAACAAGGTCTCTCTAAGTTACTCAGGGCCTCCCTAAATTGCTGAGGCTGGTTTTGAATTTACCATCCTCCTGTCTCAGCCTCCTGAGCCATTGGGATTACAGGTGTGTGCCATTACACCAGCGAATCCCCATCCCCCCCTTTTTTATTGATACAAGTCTTGTTAAATTGCTTAGGGGTCACTTAATTATTGAGGCTGACCTTGAACTTTGGATCCTCCTGCCTTGGCCTACCACCAAATCATTGGTATTACAGTTTTGTGCCACCATGGCTGGATGGGATTATCTTCTGCCTTGTAAATAATAGGTGTTCAACAAACATTTATTGAATGAATAATTCATGAATGAATGATACTACTACTAATTATTATTGTTTTGCTTTTGTGATGCTGGGGCCTCTTGTATGCTAGGTGAGCACTCCACCAACTGAGCTATATCCTCAGCCTTTGAATGAATAATGGAGAGGAGGGAAAGACAGGAACTCTTTTCCTCCAGCCCTTTGCCTTTGTTTTATTCATCCCCTCCCTATCCCCAGGAAAGTGGCATGCTAAATAGGTATAGTCAGAATTGGAATCTGGATCCCAATGCAACATTTTATGATTGCAAAATGCTTTCTTTGCAGGAGAAACAGGGCACCCAGTAAGGCACAACTGCCAATTCACTGTTTGTGTTTTTGTTGTTCTCCCCACTGTTTCTGTTTGCACGCCAACTCTGGGGAAGAAAGTGATTAGAAACTGGGGAAGAGGTGATTCTGTAGGGCTGAAGGAGCTCTGCCATGCCAGCTGGGACTTGGAAGCCCTCACTTCTGCCCTGCCAACCCCCTCCTCTCTACTTCTCCTCCTCCTGTCTTTAGTTGCTTGGTTACAAACTACCAAAACTAGGAGCACGAGAAAAAAATTCTTAGCGGTATGGTGACTGACCATAGAAGAGAAAATTGAGAGGGAATCAAAGTTCTTGCAATGGCTTCAGGCTCTAAGTGGCTTACCTTTTGGGTCTCATTACTTTCTTTCTCTCATTCTGCTCCAAAATTCAAAAGATGGGTAAAGGAATGTAGTATGCAATGAAAAGACTCTTTACCCACTGGAGTCATCCAGTTCCCTTGCATAGAGACAATCAGTCACAGTTTATCCTACCAAAATTATTTAATGCATATGTAAGCAAATACGTAGCATCTGCTTGTCTAGCCTATGACTTGGGAGGAACAGAGCAAGAACACAGTTTTTATATCAGGAAGAATATTCTGTCCATCAGATGAAAGGAGTCGTCTATAAAGAGGTTTTGATATTCTCTTTTCCAGGGGAGTCTTATCCTATTTAAATGGGTGATATCACCAAGATGACTCTAGAAGGGGCCCGAGATGTATAATGTGATTTTTTTTTTTTCTTGTTGTTGAATATCACCATCTATCCCAGCTGGCGACTTAATGCTGGCTCACAAAATCTGACTATTTCAATAACTTAAAAAACAGCAAAGAAAGCACGCAACACACAGAAGTAGCTTTTCAATAGTCCAGGGACAGCTCTGAGATCTTAGGGGTCTGTGAAAAGAGAAAGAGCCACTGGAATTCTTTATTCTTATATATGGGACACACAAGGGGAGGGTCCATGGAACATTCTATCCCCAAAAGGGCAATGGGGTAGGATTACAAAGGAATAGGTGAGTGTAACTCAACCCCTTGCAGAAACGCTTACTCCTGGAGCCATGCCTACTCCTGGAGCCACGCCTTGTTATCCGAGTTAGGGTAATGTCCAAGTTACTGCCACCTGGCACCACCATGCCAGACTGAATGCAATAATTGTTCAGAACCCATGCATCAGGACTTAAGGCATCTGCATCCAGGCAGCTCCTGACAATTGGATGAAGGCATAAACAGGGAAGAGAAAAGATGGGAATCGTAGGTCTCAGGTAGCAAAGGATGGAGGGCTTTTCATGGTTGAAAGTGAGTAAAAGCAAGCAGTAACAGTGAAGGAAGTTTGGTGGTACCTCATGTCTCAGGCATTGTCTTTCCCTGGATTTCAGAGCAGCTCTCGCACCTGTGTCCTAAGGAGTGCCCTCACATTGTCTTTCAAGCTATTTCGGGGCCCCTGGCTGCAGCCACTGCCTCTATCCTCACCAATCCCATGGATGTCATCCGAACTCGTGTGCAGGTAATACTGGTCTCCTCCCCAACCCTCCTCCCAGAGAAGCCATGAGAAACATAATCTTCAGGCCCTCCAGCATTCCCTTGACCTCTATGTGACATGGTCTTTTGGTCTAGTCAGTCTGTTCCTGGTCATCCAGGTCCCTTCCTTGTGCTTCTCATCTGCAGAAACCAGTGAGCACTTGGAAGTACCTAGATTGTTTCTCTTACCCTGTCTGCTACCTTGTATGACTCTACCTGGTTTCTTCTAGCTATTAGCATACCTATAAGTCATTCTATCTTCACCTTGCAGTTTGTGATTATTAGAAGTATTGATTTCAACTCTGGACACAGTGGTATATTACCCGTAATTCTAGCAACTCGTGAGGCTGAGGCAATAGGATCTCAAGTTCAAAGCCTGTCTCAGCAACTTAGTGAGGCCCTAAGCAACTCAGTGAGACCCTGTCGTAGGTGGACACAGTGCCTTTATTTTTGTTTATTTATTTTTATGTGGTGCTGAGGATCGAACCTAGTGCCTCACCCATGCTAGGCGAGCGCTCTACCACTGAGCCACAGCCTCAGCCCAGAGACCCTGTCTCTAAATAAAATATAAGAAGGGCTGGAGATGTGGCTCAGTGGTTAAGCGCCCCTGGTATACACACACACACACACACACACACACACACACACACAAAGGTATTGATTTCAGTTAGTTTCGTAAGTCTGATTTTTTTCCACTAGGCTATGGGTTCTCAACAGAGAGTGAGAGTGACTGTTCTTTTTTCTTTTTGGTACCGGGGATTGAACTCAAGGGCACTCGACAATTGAGCCATATTCCCAGCCCTAATTTGTATTTTATTTAGAGACAGGGTCTCTTTAAGTTGTTAGCACCTCACTTTTGCTGAGGCTGGCTTTGAATTGCCATCCTCCTGCCTCAGCCTCCTGTTTACCACACCTGGCTATTTTTTATTTTTGTGACAGGGTCTCACTAAGTTGCTGAGTCTGGCTTTGAATTTGTGATCCTCCTGCCTCAGCCTCTCAAGTTGCTAGGATTATAGATGTGTGTCACCACGTGGGCGGAGAGTGATTTCACAGATTGTTTTGTTTCAACTGAGTAAAAATGCTAACAAAGCCCTTACAGTCTCTGTCTTCAGTCAGCTCAAAGACTCTTTCCTTCACCTAAAAATAGAGTCTGAATGATGGTGTAAAATATTGCAAAGGGTAGATTTTACTCTAGCTTTAGGTGGAGAGAAGGGAGATTTGCTTTTCTTTTCCCCCCTTTAAGTATTGGAGAATTGAACCCAGGGCCCTGGTCATGCTAGACAAGTACTCTACCACTGAGCTATGTACCCAGCTCTTTTCTTCACCTGTTTAGTTGTCTAAGCTGGCCTCAAATTTATAATCCTCCTGCCTCAGACTCCCTAATAGCTGAGATTATAGGTTTGTACCAACATGCTGGCTGCAAAGGAGATTTTGAATGATTTTGGGGAAAGATAGAGAATCAAGAAAGATGAACAAGAGATGGGATCATTGGGTTATGGTGAGGAGAAAAGGGAAGGAAAAGAACATTAACAGGTTGGGGAGCCATATGTGGTGGCCTGTGTCTGTAGTCCCAGCTGTTCAGGAGATTGAAGTAGAGGATCATGAGTCCAGAAGTTCAAGACCAGTCTGTGCAACATGGTAGAACCCCCTCTCAAAAAACCAAACCAAACCAAACAAAAATAAAGCAACAACATCAAAAAAGTATTTTGGAGATAAAGTCAGTTTCTCTGCTATCAGAATGTCTAGAAGGAGACAGGTAGCAAATGCAGGTATTTTTTCTCCCTAGAAAAGAATGTCTCCTGCTGCATTTGAAAATGAATACACTGGCGTCTGATTGGCTAGTCCCCATTCTCTCCTGAGCCTGTCCTGAGTGTTCTAGGAGATCCAAGGGAAAGGACAGGTCTCTACTCTGAGGAGCTCCCAGAGGCGTAGCTAGAAAAGCCCCTGGATGGCTGTGGAGAACTGGAAGGTTGGGGAGCAGAGGTGGTCAGATGAGGTGGTACTAGTGAAGAAGAAGGGCCTGTGGAGGAGGTGCTGATGGAGGCAGGGGCACTGGGGAGGGCTGGGATCAGCTTGTGTAGGTCATGCTGTAGGGAGGGGGACAAGGAATGTGTCTGTTCACCCGAGGAGCTGAGTGGTCAGTCTCTAAAGGGTGTGGTTTAGGAGTGGGGGAAGAGTGGGACTGCTGAGAAAGAAGAGATGAATGCCCTGGCCAACCTTCCAGTGTGACAGGGAAGACAGGCCATGGTGTGTGAAGGGGAGGGTTCTCGCCCTGGGCTTCAGACAGATTGAGGTGACTGGAGTCACACTCCCAGACTGGCAGAACTGCAGAGGACCTTGGAGGGGATTTAATCCAGCATCCCCAGCATCTCCAAGACCAGAGAGAAGAACCTGACTTACAGCTAGGTGGCTTAGCTAGCGGTGTGAAGAGTTAACATGACTGAACATTGACTCTCTGCCAGGTTCTGTTCTCAGCATTCACAAGTATTAGTTTCTTTTTGTTCAGAACAACCTCATGGCATAGAAACGATTATCACTGTTTTATATTTGAGGAAACTGAAATGTAAAGAGTTAAATTGTCCAGGGATATGCTGTTAATAAGCTGGGGATCAGACTTTGAACCCAGGCAGTCTGGCACCAGAGCACATACAAAGTCTCTGTGCTTTCTGGTCCTCAGAAGCAGAATCCAGCCCTTCTGCCTCCCAAGTAGTTTTCCCACATGAGCCTGAGGCAGAGGGAGACTGCGCAGAGGGCACTGACCACAGACTGTGATCCCCAACTGTGTTGACTTCCAGGTTGAAGGCAAGAGCTCCATCATCCTAACCTTCAGACAGCTGATGGCAGAAGAGGGACCTTGGGGCCTCATGAAGGGCCTCTCGGCCAGAATCATCTCAGCTACTCCTTCCACCATCGTCATTGTGGTGGGCTATGAGAGCCTCAAGAAACTCAGCCTGCGACCGGAGCTGGTGGACTCAAGACACTGGTAGCCAGTGGTGGGTAGAGAAGTGGCTGTTCCCACTATTCTGGGCTGGGGGCAGAGCAGGGAAGAGAGTATCTTCTCTAATGCCCCCACTACATACCCATCCCTGCCCTGGGCCAGGTGGCCTGTCTGGGAAAGGGACAGAGACTTTGGCCTGCTCTTGCTGAAGAGGTTCCATGCCTGGCTTCCCTTCCCCAACTATTTTTAATTCTCCTACTGAACTGGGCTCCCTTCCTCAGCTCCTGGCCTGGAGGCCCACCTCCCCTGAACTGCTAGCCCCCTCAGGCTTCCCTTTCCATCTTCCCTGAGGTCCTGAGCAGAGCTGTGCATAGAGCTTATTGACTACCACTGATTTCTCCTCGGGGGCTTTCACCAGACTCTAAGCAGTTGCCCCCCACCCTCTACCACGTCACCTCTGAGGCTAGCTCATTTTTAATTTGGGTCTGAGCTGCCCACCAGACTACTACTCTGCATTTCTTACACTTTGGGGTAAGTTGCCAGGCACTTTTGCACAGTCAGAGCAGCAAAATCCCTGTCTCTACAGAGCACTCGTCTTTTCTTTTGAGGAGTTATTGAGATGGGGAGAAAAGCTGATACTTTATTTTATGTGTATATTTTTAAACGTCTGTGAACCAGGCTCTTGTCCTAGTCCTGCTAAAGCACCAATCCTGCTGTCAGAGCCTACCCCTGCCTTAGACAGGTGGGAAAATGTCACGTAGCCTTTTCCTCAATCCCAGTCCTATCCCTTCAACCCCAGCAGCCCCTGTACAATATGAGCTGTTGGCTTCCCCTGGCCCAGATGACAACAGTGGGGTGGGGGGCACAGTTCTAAATAGGTTGGGCCGTCTCGGGTACACTGGGCTTGGAGCACCTCCTTGAAAAGTCAGGTTGAGAGAGTAGTTGGTTTGGAAAGCAGCAAGAGGGTATGTGTTCCCCATCAGGCCAGCTGAGCCCAGCCTAGCAGAGAACAGTGGAGGTTCTCAACCCCATTGAGAGGCAGCCACGAGGTACACATACACCCCAGTCACTCATACGGCAACAGTGTTGTCTCACAGTGGAAATCTGAGATGTGGAATGTTTTTTTTCCCTTCTCTCTGGGTGTAAAGAGTCATCCCAGTCATGGTACCCTGTGCTTGAAGAGAATAAAGAGCAGTTCAGGAAGTCACCTAATACCAGGATCACTGCATTTACCAGCCTGATACTGCCAAGATTATCTGTTGAAGCTCCGCTCAGAAGCTAGGAGACCTGCTCCTGCTCCCCTGCCTCATTCTTCCCCACCCCACCTCCTCCACCAAGCCTGGGTTGGGTGGAGAGGTGCAGTGAATGGAAGGAGAAGGAGGCAGTCAACCCTGCCTTCCCACTTGAGACGCTTGGTCTGAATGATCCTTTAAACCTATTTAAGGGTCCCACCTGCTGGGGAAGGCCCCGGTGCCATTGAAAGGTGCTAGCTACCTGAAGCCTTGATGTTTCCCACATTCTTACACCCTGGCCTGACTCTGAACCAGATTTCACTACCTTCACCGCCAACCATGTTCCATCTTGTCTCTGGTTAAGGATTTTCCCCTATTCATTTTATTTATTAATTATTATTATTATTTTTTTGTCCCTACCTTCACTTTGTCTTCCAGTTTCTTTTCACAAATAGTCATCCTAAAGGTTGGGCCCACAGGTCATTCCGAATCTTCCTGCCCATCACTCATCACTCACCCTGAGAACCACCCACACAGGGAAGCAAGGGCCCTGTCTCTTTTTAAGCTTTCCCAGTGAGCGCTGGAGGATGGTGTTCTCAGTGCCGCCGGTCTTCCGACCTTCCCCACTGTGCTGACGTGGTCCTCTCCTGCCTCAGGTGTGACTCCCTCCCGCTCCTCTCCTGTAGGGTACTCAGTCTTCCACCTGTCCCCCCCCACACACACAGATTTCAAGGGTGTTGTGGAGAATTAATGGGACCCTGGCCCCTACTTTCCCTTAATAGTTTAGGAGCTGGGATTGGGTTTAGGACAGTTTTTGATGGGGATGAGACCGTGGATTTCCATTTTCCTACGACGTGGAGACCAAAGCAGCCGGCAATTTGATGTATGGATTAGCAACCAAACTGGAAGAGACTCCTGGAGCACGGGCAAGACCGGAACCTGACTGCAGGAGCACTGAGAGGGAAATGAAAGCACGTGAACGTCTGACCCAATGAACTCTTGTGAATATCAGCAGGGAATATTCACTTTTGCACTGTACGATGTCTCTGAAGTGTAATTAAAAGTTTTTACGAGCCCCTGAGCTTTGGCTTGTGCGTGTTTTTCCCGGCGCACTGCCTCCCTCTTGGCTTTCCCCGCCCTCGGACTTGTAGGTGCTCCGCCCCCTGCGGCTCGGTGACAGACGTTCTGCCGCGCCCAATCGGAGGCGTCCCGTGCGGAAGCACCCAATCGGGGGCCCAGGTGGGTGGGGCGGCAGGACCAGTTCGCTTTGGCGGTTCGACTTCAACATGGCGGAAGCCGGTAGCGCCCATCTGGCTGCGGCTGAGGTAAAAAGGTCTGAGGGGTCGTCTTCCGAGTCCGTGTCACCTGGCACTACCATTTCGCGGGTGAAGCTCCTTGACACCACGGTGGACACTTTTCTCCAGAAGCTGGTCGCCGCCGGGAGGTAAGGTGGAGGATGATGAGGGAGAGCAGCAGTTCCGAGCTTGGTCCTCGCCCGAGTGCAATTCCCGCGGTTTCGGGCGGGCGGAGGGTGGGCGGCGCGGGCTCCCGGGCGGGGCGGGGCGGCCGCGCTGGTGCTCCCCGGTCCGCTCCCGAGCCGGGAGGAGTCGGGTGACGTTTACCACCCGAGGTGACCTGCCGTGGGCCCGCCGGAAAGCCCGGTTTTGTCCACAAGCGGCTCGAAGGAAGAGGCCTTTGCCGCTAGATGGGGTGCGAGCCCCGGCCCCAGTGAGCTGGGCTCAGCGGCCCACTGCCCCCTGGTTCCTCAGCGATCGGCGACCGCGCTGCCTCGGACTGAGCGCCCCGGACGGCGCCGGCCGCGGAGGAATCACGGGGTCGAGGACCCGACGTGCGGCGCAACCGAACCGCGTCCGCCTCGACCTCGGCCTCGTGTGGACAGTACTGGGCGCTTTAAAGGGAGGCTGTGCCCTGGCGCCCCGCCCCTGCACTGCGGCGCCGAGCCGGTTCCCAGCTCCCCGGAGCCCGGCCTGGCCTCGTCCCCTCCGTCCGGCTCTGGCCGCACCGGCCCCGTTCACGGGCCTCACGTTTTGGGCCTGGGCTTGGTGGCCTGTACTTGTCCCGGCTACTCAGGAGGCCCAGACAGGAGGCTCACGGGGCCCCTGGAGTTCAGCCCCGCCCCGGGCAGCAGTGAGACCCCAAGCCCATCTCCAGGACAGATGGTCTCCCTCCTCCGCTGTTCAGGACTCACTGCTCCTGGGTGGCTCTGCGGGTGTCCCCGCTCAACCCAGCGTCCGGAAGCGCCTCCTCTGTGGGTACCAGGTACACGGTAGAGCAGTCACGACCTCCGCCTGGGTTTACAGGCAACAAGTAGAAACAAACGAGATGACCAAAAGCTTGGTAAGATCCCGAACAGGGATAGAGTGAGGGGAGCCTGCTCTGGGGACAGCGGACAGTGCAGAAGTGCACAGTCCCTGCTAATATTCACGAGAGTTCGTTGGATCTTTTCATTTCCCTCTCAGTGCTCCTGCAGTCAGGTTCCTGTCTTGCCCATTCTCCCAGAAGTTTCTTCTGGTTTTGGTTGCTAATCAGTACATCAAGTAGAAACTTGAATGTCCAGATGAAGCTAGCTTTTTGAAAAACCAGAAAAAGCAATAAAGGCAAAGGGGTAGGTTCTGCAAAGAGCAGGAGGTGATAGGTATTTTAGGAACTGGCGGGGTGTTCCTGGCTGCAGCAAGGAAAAGTAAAGTAGGGAGGCTGGCCAGGCAGGTGGAAACCTTACCAGTCCGTGCGTAATTTGCCATAATAATGAATTTGATGAAATAGTTTGTAATTATTTTTATGGTCCAATAATGGCATACCATCATTTTATGTCCTTTATTTATTTTCCCCCTCTCATTCTTGCCCTCTTCTTTCCTCAAAGGCTCACTTTTGTTGGCTATGTGTTCTTCATTTACTCATGATACAAATATTTATTGACTATCAACAGCATCTCAGGCTCTGTTCTAGTTGCTGGATATATAGCAGTAATAGAGATGAACAAGGTCCCCACCCTCCTGGAATGGACATTCCTCCTGGAATGTATATATCAGGGAAAAGGGATAGAGAGCAATGAGGAAAGGGGTCAGGGTAAGACTATGGTGGGTTTTTTTGTTTTGTTTTGTTTTTGGTCCTGGGATCAAATCCAGGTCCTCACATATGCACAGCACCCTTTCTACCACTTAAGCTGCATTCCTGGCCCAGTATGTTGTCTTTTTTGTCTGTGTATGTTTTAAATTTATATGAATGATATTGTGGGTTTTTTTCCCACACATATCATTTTAAAGTCCCAACCATGTCTGTAAGTACCTAGGGTTTGTAGCTTCCCAGTGCTAGTTGTCCTCCCATGGTGTATACCTCCCACTTACCTATTCCTTATTATGGACACCTGGTTGTCTGTAACTCCCTCCTCCACAAATGATGGCAGGTTAATCACCTTGTCTATCCCTTTTGGACTAGTGCTAGGATTTCTCTGAGATATATAAATAAATACCTGTGTTTTGTCTGACTGCTTTCCAGAAAAGATGTTCCTGTCCTCCACATCCTTACCATCACTGGGCATCCATCATTTTCATATTTATCATTTATGATTCTGACAGGTATAAAACCAGGGTATCTCATTGTTATATTTTGCATAACTCTGACAGGGTCTTGCTAAGTTGCTTAGGGCCTAAGTTGCTGAGGCTGTCCTTGAACTTGTGATCCTCTGCCTTAGTCTCCTGAGTCTTTAGGATCACAGGCATATGCCATCTTGCTCAGCTCCAGTGTTTTTTTTTTTTAATCAACCCAAATAACCCAAATGACAAACAGAGGAGGATTACATAGACTTTTTTTTTTTTTTTTGTACCAGGGATGGAACCCGGGGTGCTTAACCACTGAGCCAAAATCCCCAGCCCTTATTATTTTTTGTTTAGAGACAGGGTATTGCTAAGTTGCTTAGAGCCTTGCTAGTTGCTGAGGCTGGCTTTAAACTTGAAATCCTCCTACCTCAGCCCCCCTAACCTCTGAGATTGTAAATATTCACCACTGTGCTGGGCACATAAATTTGATATTTGTTGTTTTTTTTTTTTTTTGACAAGATCTGGTTTGCTTTAGTATATTGAAGATCTTTCTAAAATAAACTATGAGAAAGCCATTCTAATTCAATGGAAGAGATGCTGAAGGATTCAAGATTAACGTCCATTATAAGCAATGTGAAACGGAGGGAAAGATCCGTGAATTGTGCTCGTAGAATTCTGCCCCCATGGGAGATGGAAGGGTCAAGCGGAAAGCCATCAGTGGGAAAGATGAAGAAAGATGGGCTCTCAGAGCAGGGGTTTCTGGCTAGAAGCTGTTCTTTGTCAATTTTTTCTCCCAGCCTCCTCAGGCTGATTCTCTAGGCTAAGATGGGGTAGATGGTGTTTGCTGTAGTAGAGAAAGAAAGTGGTGGGCTGAACCCAGGGGTAGTGCTGAAAAGTTTCCCGAGTCACTTGGCTCAGGCTTCTCCAGGGAAGATGGACAGAGGGAAAGGAGGTGCTAGCACCAAGCGAGGGTTTGGTGCAGGGCTCTGGAAAGTTCAGAGGAGCTGGAGACTCAGGTGGCAGGACACGCCTGGATAGCAAAGAGAGAGTCTGCAGTGCTCATACAAGGGACAGCAGTCCAAACCTTATCATGCATTGGGGCTAATTTGCTGAATGAGTTAGTTCCATCCTGACCTCCCTGGGCAGGGTTGGTCAGGGAAGACAGAAAACAGGCCTTCCCAAGACCCATGGGAATGAAAAGTGGCCAAGAAAAGCCAGATTTGGGCTCCCAGAATGCAATGAAAAAAATAGAGAAAGGGCCGTAAAGGATTCTAGGTGCAGGCTGAGCTAACAACGCCTTCTATCCATGATTCTGTTCTTAACATTGGCTTAGAGGCAGAGACAGCCCTTCCCTGATCTTCAAAGCCCCAGAGATAAAGGGACCAGCTGGAGGATGGGCTTTGGGGCATCCAAGGGCACAAGTATGTGACAGCCACCCCTATGGAACTCAGCAGGGACCACAAAGTTTCAGCTTCAGTTTGTTCTCAGAGCAACAAGCACATCACGGGGTTTGGAGGGGCTTCAGTCTTAGAGACAAGGGCGGGGTTGCAGGTCTGTCTTCTTAGCCTGGGAATATTTGGGATTCCCCAGCTGAGCCATCCAGATCACCCTTCTGGAACTGCCAGCTCTCTCCTCTCTCCTCAGTGGACAGGAGAGTGGGTGGGAGGGCAGCTTCACCCAGCGGGAGCCACCACCCCCTCTCCATGGGACCCCCAGCCCCTCTCCTGGGCAGGACCCTCAGGGCCGCACAGGTGTGTCTAGATCTTCATGTCCACGGGGCGAATGTTGCCCATTTTGTGCTCTCTGACCCACAGCTCTCTGTCTTTGGCCGGGTCCACTTTTCGAAGCAGTTGGTCCACAGGCTGTACTGTGCTTTGGTTGAACATGTCTGTCTCATGCTACAGCTGTGTGTACTGATACAGATGTTGCCAGATATCTCCAGCCGCTCCAGCTCCAAAGTGGTGGTCACCATCTCTTCAAACCACTTGGACTGTGCCTGGCTGTAGAGGTCCACACAGCGCATGAGGTCATCGCCAGCCTGTGTGGACTTTCTCCGGGCCTTCTTGATGTCCTCCTCTGTCTTGTTGCTCAGCTTGATCTCCAGTTGCTGGGTCTTCATCTCCAGGTCTCTCTGCTGCTCTGTGAGGGCTTTCTGGGCCTTCTCCACCGATGCATGGCGGCTGGCGAGCTGCTTGCGAAGGTCAGCGATATGGTGGTCACACTTTTTCATGTCTTTCTTGAAGTTCTCACGAAAGTTCATTAGGGGCTTCTCTACCTCGCTGTTAAGCTTGGCAGAGAACTTGATATGAACTTCTGCTTCATCTGCCAGATTCTTCTTCACCTGGGCCCAGGCTTCTCCCAAGGAGCCTTCCTCCTGTGCAGCCAAGGAGTTCTGAGAGAGCTTAGCCAAGTTCTTTGCATATTTTTCTTCAATCTTTCTCCTCTCTCGGACGAATTCAGACATTTCTTTCATGTTTGTTTGCCTTTCAGTTGCTTTTGGAGCAGCAATTCCAACCCAGCCACCGTGCCATTGCCTTGGGGATCCTTCTTATCAGTCCCAAAGTAGTCACAGTAGCTCCACTCGGTTGGCTTTAGCAGTTGCTGTTCAGGCATGGTGTCTGGGTGAGGGAATGTCACGCAATTTATCATCTTCTCTGTGGGGTCAACTTTATTTTCAAGATTATATATTTTGTCTTCATTGCCTGAGGTTCTATCTTCCAAATGGTCTTGTCTGTTGGTGATACTTTCCATTGAACTTTTAAGTTGGTTTAGTGATTCCTTCACTTCAAGGATTTCTTCTCTATTTCTTTTCAGGACCTCTAATATATCTTCACAGAAGTGATCTTTCATCTCCTGAAGCGAATCTGTTATTTTACTGCTTAATTCCTGTGCCTGCTCTCTTATATAATTCTTTAAGTCGTAGAACAGTTTTACTAATACATCCTGAACTCCTTCTCTGACATTTCTTCGATGGATTCTCTTATGGGAGCAGCTTAGTTTGTTTGGAGCACTTTATTCCCTTTTTTTTCATTTTGTTTGTGTGTCTTCCCATCTAGCCGTGTGGATCTGAAGCAGAATAGTTTCTACTCTGTAGATTTAAAGTGTCCCTGAAGGTTTCCAGAAACTCGCCTAGCTGCAAACTCACAGATCCAGGCTCTGGTTTCTGTAAGCTCTGCCACACTGCAGGACCCAGAAGGCTCACCGACCAAGGACAATGGATGAACTCCTGAAGAGAGTGAAGGGAGTGAACTTCCGTTCCAGTTTTACCCACCCTCCTGCCCAGCCCTAAATATAAATTTGATATTTGATACAGTAATTTTGATAGAGTAACTCTCAGCCATAAGGATTAATAATAAGATTGCTAACCAAGCCTCGTGGCATACACCTGTTATCCTACTTATTTGTGGGGCTGAGACATGAGGATTATAGGTTCAAAGCCAACCTGGTTAACTTAGTGAGACCCTGTCTCAAAATAAAATAAGCAGTTCATTAGTAGATAGTACTTTCCTAGCATGTGCAGAGGCCGTAGGTTCAACCCTCAGTTAAAAACAAACAAACAAAAAAAAAGATCAGTAACAAAGATAATGCAGTCCAAATCTGAAAACAGTTGCTAGTCAGATGTCCTTTTAGAAGTTTTTCTGTGCAAGGTAGCAGGAGCCTTTGTGCCATCTGTGGTTGTGCCAGTCTTTTGTGATAGTTTTGTTATCATACATAACTAGAAGATTCCTCCTTTAACCTTTAATTTTTATGTATTGTTATTGTTAGGGCCTTATAAAAATAATTCAATTTTTATTCTAACAGTGTTCAAATCTTCTATTATCTATTTTGTTATTTTATTCTTTTCTTTAAATCATTGTCTAGATTAAGGTATAAGATAGTAGTCTCAAGCCAGTCTACTTTTTCTAGTTTCTCCCCAATGATCAACTAAAGAGTTCATTCCATTGCTTGATGTTAGATGTTTGCCTCCCAATCTACTGTGTCCTGGGTCTCTTTTTCACCCCACTGATCCATTTGCTTGTGTCTTGCCACTGCATATGGTTCCCCACTCCTCCTGATACTAGGGTTGAACCCAGCAGTGCTTTATCTCTGAGTTAGGTCTGCAGCACTTTTTAAATTTTATTTTGAGATAGGATCTCACTAAGTTGCCCTTGAACTTGGGATCCTTCTTCCTCCTCCTCCTAAGTAATGGTAATTATAGGTATGTAGCACAGTATGGCGTCTTAAAACCAGGCCCTTGCAGGAAACCTTATGTCTAATACAGCAAGTCCCCTCTGTTCTCTTTAAAATTGGGCCTTCTAGTTAAGAATCTTGATTGATTGATTGATTTTTGCCTAAACTTTAGAATGAGGGATGGGGTTGTGGCTCAGTGGTAGAGCGCTTGCCTAGCAAGTGTGAAATGCTGGGTTCATTTCTCAGCACTGCATATAAATAAATAAATAAAAATAAAGGTCCTTAACACCCCCTCATTTTTTTTTAACTTAAAAATGAATTTTTTGTTTTCTCAAAACATTCAGCTGGTTGAGCACAGTGGCACACACCTATGATCCTAGTTACTCAGGAAGCTGAAGCAGGGGGAGTACAAGTTTGAGGCCTACCTGGGGTCTCAAAAAAAAAAAAAAAAGCATGGAGTAAGTAAGGGAATATAGGTTGGCCAGGGTGTGTGAAGCCATAGGTTAAATCCCAGCAATGCAAAATAAATTAATTAATTAAATAAAAATAAAACATGAAAAAAGGGACTAAGGGTGTTGCTCTGTGGTAGAGCACCCTGGGTCCAATCCCCAGTATTGGAGGAAAAAATTTCAGCTGTAAATTTGGTTGGGATTATACTGAGTCATAGATCAATTTTGGCAGGACTGGTTGCCAAGGTCTCGGCTTGGCACCAGAATCAGGAGCCACCACACACCTTTGTAGGTTCAAACAGCAATTCTTTATTCCTGCTCTCACACCGCCTCCACACAGGTCCAGGGGCAATCTCGTTCTCCGTCTGCCCAATTCACCTACTCCACGAGGCTATCTCCAAATCCCATTTTAATCTCAGGAGGACTCAACGGAACAAGCAGCAGGAACACCCTAATCCCAGCAATAATCTTCAACCTCCAACTTCCCTAAAACCCATTGTCTTATACTGGCAACGCCTTAAACTCAAGGAGCCGGTTACTTCCTCAAACCTGATCAGCTCTAAACCCGGATCCGCCTTGGTCCTTGAGCAAGGTCACTTTATTAAAGCATGCATGCAATGTCCCATCGAATGTCCTCTAAGCAGCATGGGGTACACTTGGCAAGGAAATTTCGATGCGTCATTCCTACTTGACAATGGCCCTCAGCAACTGGTATCTCTACAATGGCATTATTCAGCCACAAACATGATATATCTGTTATGGTTTGAATGTGAGGTGTCCACCAAAAGCCCACATGTGAGACAATGCAAGAGGCTTCAGAGAGGAAATGATTGGGTTGTGAGAGCCTTAACCCAATCAATGAATTAATCCCCTCATGGGGTTAACTAGTGGTGACTGGAGGCAGGTGGAGTGTGGCTGAAGGAGGTGGGTCATTGGAGGCGTGGCTTTGGGCTATGTGTATTTAGCAAGTGGAGATCTCTCTCTGCTTTCGGATCATCATGTAGCTGCTTCCCTACCCCATACTCTTCCGCCAGGATGTCAGCCTCACCTCTAGCCCCTAGGAGTGGGACCTCCTGTATATATTGAAACTTCTGAAACTGTGAGCCCCCAAGTAAACGTTTTCTCCTCTACAATTTTGCTTGTCAAGTTTTTAGTCACAGTGACGAAAAATGCTGACTAAATCTATCCATTTAGTCAGATTGTCTTTCAGCAGAGTTTTAAAGTTCTTTGTCAAGGACTTCTGCTTTCTGTCACTGTAATAAATATCTGAGATAAATCATCTTCATAAGAGGAAAGGTTTATTTTGTTTATTTAAATTTTTTTTTTTAAAGAGAGAGTGGGGG